CCGTCACGGACTGCGTGACCTCACCACTTCCTGTGGATTTTTTTTTTTCTGCGACTAAGCGACTAATAACATTTTGGTCGACCAAGCTTCTTCTGGTGGACTAATGATAAGTCGACTATTAGGGGGCAGCCCTACAAATGACTCTGTCATAGACTAAAGTTATTTTAATAACCCACTGAGATACAAAGATAAAGAAGGCTTGATATTATTTAAAGAGGTGGGAAGGCGTCACTTCGCCTGTGGATTTTTTTTTTTCTGCGACTAAGCGACTAATAACATTTTGGTCGACCAAGGTTCTTCCGGTGGACTAAAGATAAGTCGACTATTAGGGGGCAGCCCTACAAATTACTCTGTCATAGACTAAAGTTATTTTAATAACCCACTGAGATACAAAGATAAAGAAGGCTTGATATTATTTAAAGAGGTGGGAAGCACGACGGCACCAGTGAAATGTGCCACTGTCTCACACATGCTGCGACCTCAAGCACACTTAAAGTTTACTAGAGTGAGTTTCCAGACCACCGCTGGGTTAAACGGCTCTGAAAGCGCTCTCCTGTGTGAACGTGTGCTCAACTCACAGTCCTGAGACGATCGGTGCTTGAAGGTGAACCGCAGGTGACTCCTGTTGACATCTTCAATCGGGATCGCAACCTGCAACACAGAATATCACAAAAAAAGATGAAGTTAACGCAGATGAGATGACCTTAGAAAGGAACTAGGACTGGAAAATACCGTAAAGGTCTTGAATATTAATAAAGGACATAAATATGGATCCAAATAGACACTTAAGCAAGATGCAGTCCTTGTGACCTTTACACTGAACTTTATTCTTCATTTAAACAGTTTAAACAGTTTAAACAGTTTCAACCGTGTAATGCTCTTTTAGGTTATTAAATATTTAAAAGGGTCAAATCATGCATTTTTCCCCCTTTGAGGCTCGATTATTTTTTTATGTTAATATATGGTATTTTTAGTGCATTAAAAAATACCCCACAAAAGCTACTAAAAATTCCAATATTAGCATAAAATTAAATAAAATATTAAAACAAAAGATTAAAAAGTGGGGTATGAGTGGTTATGAACGAATGAATGAAACGCATTTGTCTGTGTTTCACTCCATCTCGAATAGCTTTCAACTAGTTTTTTTAGTCTCGTGAGAGACTGTACGACATTCACATTACACGATTTGACTGATTTTTACGTAGAAAGTAGAAAGGGCAGCAGCGCACCGCATTAAAAGAAATGATCATTCATGTTTTCATAACCGCTGGCCAAATTCAAAAACGAAACTAAAATTAAATCATCTTTGAGAGCAAGGGGGCCCCCTGGTGTTTCGGAGGCCCTACGCAGCTTGCATATTTTGCGTATAGGGAGGATCGGCTCCGAGTATGCACATTGGGACACAGGGATACACTCGGGAAGAAACAGCACATCTAAACTTTGCCAGAATACAATTGTTCCGACGTAGGATATGATAGTATAAGTGACACTCACCTTGATGGTTTCAAACCAGCGAGGCTGTTTGACCTGGTAGTAAATGACCGATTTGTATTCCAGAATGCCTTCATCTCCAGCTCCAGGAAATATCACGTTCTAATTGGGAAAGATAAAGAAATATAATAAAAAAAGCTATTAAAAACATTAGACATTTAAATCTTCTGAAGAGGAACCATTATATTGATCATTTTGTCATGGTGCATTCATGCTGACCGGTAAAACAATTTGTTGCACAGAATAATTTAATCTGACTCCCTGCCAAGTTCAGAAGCTAATTGGGGATCAGAAATGACAGATACGAGTTATGCAATATTAAACAACAAAATCTATTCTACCTGCTGGAAACCATAAGGTGCCCATATGCTGTGAGGAGCAAAAGCACTGCATGCTTTATTGCTTTTTTTTTATTATTTCTTGCCATTGCACACAGTGAGGGTCATGCATTCAACACAGTCACACAGCTGGCCTGTCAAACCCTGAAAAACACACATACATGCTACAGCTGACAGCCACCAATTATGAGCAATAAGCGACCGGCCGCCCTACAGCTGCAGGACTGATTGCATGTGAGAAAGAACCGTTATGTGGGCAGTAAAAATAAGCACAAAGCAGGGGTGGATGGCAGAGAATAAAAATTAAAAAAAAGAAAGTAACAAAAGAAACAAAATGTACCAGTAAGTATGAGGCATATGTGCACATAAGCAGGCAAAAATACAAACCTCATAACAGACTATTAGAGAGCAAGTGTGATTGTGTTTAAAGGAAAGTTACAGGTTTAACATAAACAAAGCTCTACAGACAGCATTTATGTCAATTTGCTAATAATATAATGACTGATTTGATGAACATTAGTATTTACTATTTGTTACTTAAAAAGTGGCTACATCAAGGCAGTTTCATTGCAAAAATTATTATATTTATGTATTTATTTAGAGCGGTTTCTAAATCTTCCTTTTGATGGGCAACTACTTGTCTTGTGTCTTTTATTAAATTATGTATTTATTATTTTTGCTTTTTATAAAAAAAAAAAAAAATAAAAAGTTGAAATAACTTTCTACAACAGGGGTTCACAAACTTTTTGCAACATAGACCCTTAGACATAAAATATTTACTTAAAGAACCCCCTGAGTTTTAAACGACACATTCACATTTAATAATAATAATAATAATCACCATCATTATTATAAATAATAATTATTTATAGTGCGAGAGTGTGTGTGTGTGTATAGTATATACTGTATATATATTTATAATGTGTGTATGTTGTATGAGTTTATAATCATAATAATTAAATGTGCTGCATGACATTTACTTAATTAAATTGCAGCCTATTTATATATACAGTGGGTACGGAAAGTATTCAGACCCCCTTAAATTTTTCACTCTTTGTTATATTGCAGCCATTTGCTAAAATCATTTAAGTAAATTTTTTTTCCTCATTAATGTACACACAGCACCCCATATTGACAGAAAAACACAGAATTGTTGACATTATGTTTTATTGGAAATACATTCAGTTTGATGATGGATACCTGGCATGATGATTTCTGGGAAGCCCATTTTGCGAGCGACGGCGGTGGAACGGTCCACCAGGTGAGGGAAATCTTTACGGATCTGATGAATATCACCTGGAAGCAACTTCAGCGTAACCCACAAACCTGAGGACCGGAGGAACAGACTGCAGTTAAACACACACACACACTTCCTATTTGTGCTTTACAGCTCACGGGATCTTAACTCATTTTAATACCTCATTATTAGTGATCTACAAAAAATAATTAAGAACACCGGATTAATTTAATTGCTGAGAAAATACCCGCAGGAAGCAGAGCAACTGTGTTATTTAAAGAGTAGGGATGAATTGTGCTGTGAATATTTTATACTAAAACATTAAAGATTAAATCCTGCAGGTTAATTTTTACTGTAGGCTAAAACACGGCATTAAGAGAAACCTTCTGGTAATGTAGGGTCCTAGAAAATCTGATTTATTCATTTCATTTTCCTAAATTTCTATTTTTTATTGTTTCATTTTTTCTGGCAGCTCTGGCAGTTATATGAAGGCATGAAATATTAATCATTTAACTGATATTTTTTTTAATTTAAGGAAATAAAAATGAAAAGAGGTTTACGGTTACAAAAAAGGCAATATGAAATAGGCAATTATGCAATATTCCTTAAAGTGCTTTAGTCATTTTATTATTACTTTGAGAAGTGCATTCTACTGTACAATAGTAATATATTTCTGTCACAATTTCTTCAAGTTGAACCAAACCTTTATTTTGACGGGTTACCATGAAGACCTTTGAGTTTCTGCATGTTTAATGGTTATGATAATAGTTTTTTTTTTTCAAAATTAAGTGTTGAAATGCTGCTAAAATGACTCAGAGCAGCTCTGGAGATGAAAGGTGTTCACCCCAGTGACCTTTACCTTGACCTTTGTGATTGACCTCTTTGGCGGTGATGACCTTGTTGATGACGGTCTGGAGGAAGTCGTTCTCGCCCGCCACCCTGGATGAAAAACGGGAGATGTTCAGCTGCCTGTGGCGAATGGCGTCATCCAACGCTAGCCTGGAGTTCACACGCAACAGGCAACACGCCAACGGGAGGAGGAGGAGAGAGAGAAGGAAGACAAAGAGAGAAGAAGAGTAGTAGCCACAGAGAGCCAGATAAGAGTGGACATAAGCAGAAGAGAAAAAAAAAAGCGATGGATGAAGAAAGCGAGAGGGAGAGAGAGGGAAGACACCAAACAGTGATACAGATACCATGACAGGGACAAAAGCCATTTTGTTAGCAAACAGTAATGCGGGATGGGTGACAGGAGAGACACAGAGAGATGCTGTAATTTCAGAAATGACCCTCATCTCACCCAAACACAGATGAAGCCACTGCCTCTATAAAGACACAAAGCCTACTGAGCTGCCTTAATAATAATAATAATAAAACATCACAGTCGCACTACACACGCATGATACCGAATTACAACAGTAATCATAGTAATTATAAAGCTAAGTAATTATAGAACATAATTCATCCAAGATGAAGGACAAGGTAAAATTTATATTGATTATAAATAAAATGTACTTTAAAATACATTTGTATTTATATTTGATATAATACAATGAAATAATATGAAATATTATATGAATATTGTATTATATGAAAACATATTTATTTATAATATAACAATCTAAAAACAATTACATTTTCTTACAAATATTAATTTATTATAAATAGCTGGCCCATTTATTATTATTTACATTGAGGAAAAAAAATTAACTTAAATGATTTTAGCAAATGGCTGCAATATAACAAAGAGTGAAAAATTTAAGGGGGTCTGAATACTTTCCGTACCCACTGTATATGCTGATTAAAAATCACTGTGCACGGGTTTTAATCAAAATTAATCGTATTTAGCCCAATTCCCATTAAATTCCCATTACTATAATAGTGATATTTTCCTTAAATTGTGTTATGCATACAGCATAATGAAAAATAAATAAATAAAATATTAAAGTTTACATCAAGGCAAGCTAGTAATTGCTGTACCAAAATTAATTCATTTAATAAATAAAATAATTTATTACTTTATGACTTGTCTGCATAACAGAAGTAAAAAGCACAAGAGAAACACACATGGAAGTTTAAATTTGTGGTTTATAAGGTGAGAGCAGGCAAAACTTTCTAGATAAGCTGTCAAGCAGCAGCTATTACTGACTGAACACATAAACATCGCCTCTAAATGGCCATTTGGCCTGCTGTGCAGCAGTGGCCGTGCTGAGATTGGGTTTACAGCAGGCAACAGCAAACTGATGAGCCATAATGGAAGCGTTGGCTTGTCTCTGAAAGTGACACATTAAAGGTGACATTGCACATACAGGTTCTGTCTCTACCTGCCTGACCCACATACAGACATACTGCTAACGTCCAAATAAAAATACAAATTTTTAATTAAGTAAAATAGAAATAACAACAAAAACAAACAAACAAACAAACAAACAAATTCATAAAGTCTGAATTTAGTGAATATGTTAAATAATTTCTAATGAAATAGCTCATTCTTATAAGTTTTAAATATAAAATAAAAAATATAAATATCATCAAAAACTAATTCTGTTTTTGAATTCTGAAATTCTGAATTTAGTCAATGTTAAATTTTATTTTATCTAATAAAAAATATCCCATTCATACAGGCTTACAGCAGTAACAATGGATGCATGGTTGGTGTCCCTGTAGATGAACAGGTCATTTAAAATCACTTTGGATATAAACATCCGCCAAATGCATCAATGCAAATTCCTGGTGGTATTTTGATGGACACTATGGTGACCATGCTAAGTGTGCATCAAATGTTATGCTCTACCTGCTACGCCGAAGGGTCTGCGGAGGCCAGACGTTAATTTCTTAGTGTTGTTTTCTCTGAGCTCCATGCGGCCCACTCGAACAATCTGACAAACAAAGCTGATTTTCTCCCTCTTCAGGTCTTCGCTCCCCAGATCCTGGAGAGACACGCACAAACACACAGGTGAGAGCGTAAAAAAAAAAGCATGCACAATCATGTACTCAAATAGATCACAACGCACTGGATAGCTGGCCAATCACAGCACACCTCGCTTTTCAGACCGATGAGCTTTGTAAAAATCGACGCGTTTCAAAAAGGCGGGGCATAGAGGAGAAACAATAATGTACAGTATGTGGAAAATAATGTTTTTTAAACTTTAAACCGCATAAACACATTTCATTACACCAAATACACAAAATAATGTTCTTTTTAGCAGCATCATATGACCCCTTTAAAGGAATTGCTGTTTTGTCTGATATGTGAATTATTTATTATATTTATTTAGATACTGATTTTAGTTGGTCTAAATTAAGTAGGTTAGGCACAAATTTGCTTATATGGGTTCCCTTCTAGACACGAGAGCTATGTGTTTGTATGTGCTTCATAACCGTGCACCCCAGGGGGCCCGTCATAATAGCCTGCACTGGGGCCCGTCCAGACATACTGCTAACGTCCGTAAGGAGAGAGAGAGAGAGAGAGAGATGATATTTCCCACTTCAAAACCCGTTTGATGTTCGTTGCTCCTGTTCAGCCTTATTTATTTATTTACAACAGAAGAACAGAATTTTCCTTTTTTCCATCAAACGAAAGAATGTGAAACCCTCTGTGCACAACAAACTGTGAGAAACGCACTGCACAATAATCAACCGAAGCATCTGGGATTGGCTACAGTAATAGTGACAAAGGAGACAAAAATGTCAGGGTCACTTCACTCCAACCAGATCAAGGCATCTAATGCATATTGTGATGTAATGTAGATGTAATAAAACAATATTTAACTCCAGCTAGACAAAATCAGTGCAAAGGCCATGTTTGTTTTGAATGCATTATAAATGTATGAATGCAGAGAGATTGTTGTGTCAACTTTTGCACTGCATATAGCACAGCTTATATGCAATGTATTATTCCAGCTGATTTCACACAAGGCTTGAACAATTGTATTTGAAGGTGTATGCAATCACTCAAATAAATCTGACAAATAAAAATACTGATCAAGACAAAACACCTGCTACCCGCAATTTAAAACAAGATAAAGACCCTTACATTTTACAGCCCAAACTGTGGCAACTCAGTATTACCTGTCATTGTAAATAAAATAAAATAAAATAAATCACCAAACAGAATGTCTGAATTTAGTGAATGTTAAATTTAATTATATCTAATATATATTTAATTATACCATTACTAAGTTACGCCACTGGCCATGCACCAGGTGTTTCTGCCTACAACCATCTAGTTAAACTCAAACTCGTTAGTTGAGCAACTAACCGGGAAGGCGACGACTGATGCATGGAATGGTTCGGTGTACACAGACTGTTAGTATGCAGTCCAGGTGAAGGATAAATCGCTCGAGCGGTGTTTGATTGGGGGCAGCAACTCATTCCCCGCTGGGGGTTTGTGCAGAGAGCAGAGGACTCTGGGAAAACAAACTGACCCTCATAGCCCAGCATTTATTAAAAAAATGACCTCTAGCAAATGAGAACGTGTGGGTGCAAACAAGCACCTACACAAGCACAAACCGATGCATATGCTCTATAATTATAAATTATGCACATGCAAATACACAAAATGTATGCAATTAAAAACAAACAAATATGCTTGATAACAGTGTGTGAGAAACACAAGAACTTCAATATGCTTTCATGTTTATAATACGTCTTTCCCTGCACAGATAATTGTTTATTCTGTGTTAAATTACATGAAGACGCCAACTCACGTACATGGATGCACACAATACGTGCAACAATGCAAACCAGGCGGCATCTCCGGAGAGCTTCCTCCTCTAACGACCGTTAGCTCGTTACCCTTTACAGCTTTAATGATGATGCTGCTTTCTCCAACACTTTAATTACCAATTCTGCAACACGACTGATGAACACGAATTAAAGTGTCACCCAATAATACCGTGATTACTCATTAAGGAACAATGCGATAGACGGGAACAGACGAACGGAATCGAGCCATAAACGGGTCATTTGCATGTCGGTGTTTCCAGGAACAAGCGAAAATATTTGAGTGTTCAAATCAAACAATTAGGTCGTGCTTGTGAAGGGTTTCAAGTGGCCTAGCGGTTTGTGCAGGTGGCACAAATTAGCACAGTTCGAAACCTAGTTAGCGGACCACCTAGATACCGTTTTAAAACATCTCATTATCAGGCAACCAAGTTTCGGCCAAGTTTTAACACAGCTTTGAATGCATATTTAGCAGAGAACAGGGCTGTTTTCGTTTACTGGAACTAAAACTATTAAAAACATTGGTGTTCATTAAAATAAAGCTGAAATAAAATAATATAAATATTAGAAATGTTGCCTTTGAAACTACCTGAAATAAGATAAAGCACTAAAACAACTAAACGATTAACGATCGCGATTAATCCCACCTAACATTAAAGTTTTTAAATATAACCCTTTTATAAGTTTTTAATATTACCCTGCGTTATAATAATAATTTAATAAAAATAATTTATGCATTTAGCAGATGCTTTTATCCAAAGCGACTTACAGTGCATTCAGGCTATACGTTTTTTACCAGTATGTGTGTTCCCTGGGAATAGAACCCACAACCTTTTGCGCTGCTAACGCAATGCTATAAACCTATTATAATAAATGTAATATTTACCTGTGCTCTTCAGCAGAAATACACAGAAATTGACATTTAAGTTATCAAACACTAAATTCTAAATTAAATATAGATGAATCTTTAAAGCTATAAAAGTTTTTTTTCCTTTTTTTTTTTTCTTTGTCCTTTGATTAATAGACATCACAGCAGCTGGGCTGCTCCGGGACAGTTTTGAAAACCATTTCAGAGACATGTTCTTAAATGTGACTCATATAAAATATATTGCATGCATGCACAGTTTTAAGGCAGCTTTAATCGCCAAATAAAAACTACAAAATATATAATGGTATATAAAAAAACTACAAAATATATAATGGTATATAAATAATACTAAAATAGCACTGGTAGAGAAAAGTACTGACAAAAAATAGTTTAAGCTAACTATTTTTACCCAATATTTGCACGCTATATTTTCTGTAATTGCCCAGCTAGGACTACAAGCATCAAGTTACTAGTAGTCACGTCTCATATGTGATTCTGCTCATATTGTGTGATGCATAAACATCTTATTGGTATTAACGGTTCCAAATCAATCATTTATATAGTTGGATTTCAGTTTCAGATTATAAAGTAGTTGTCAATGAGGCGTGGTGCTCATAAAGGTTTCAATCTGGTCTGCATCATGTCTCAACAGCATTTATCCATCTCTTCATGATAATCCAGAATAGTGTCAAAAGTAAAGCCCAAAATAATACGTACAGTGAATACAGCACGCAGGTTATGGAGCTGATCGATGTCTTTAACCAAACCTGAGCTGGACCAGCGCACAAGATAGTTTTCACTGCAAGAAAATTAAAAACATATAGATATTAAATGACATTATTTTCACAGCATAGTAGCAATTTCAAAATCATGAAATCCCGATGAACACATATACTGATAAATATAGTAGTACAGCTTTAATGCACTGCAAGACACTTTAGATAGAAAAACATTTGATAAATGCATAAATGCTAATGAAAATACAATGACACACTTGAATATAACAACATGATCATTTACTGCTGAAACAGACCATTGAGAATTGTGTGCATGGCACAAATGCTGTGGTTGATTTACTACTGAGGATGTGAAACATCATGGTTACTGGACACTGAGGCTCCCAAATGTGGGTCAAACTATTGTCAAATTATTAAAATTGGCCTAAATAATATAAAAATATTTTTTAAATATTAAAAATATTAAAAATATTTATAATATACTATATAATAATAATTAGTAACAATAATAAAATATAAAAATGTATATAAAGTTTTTCAAAATAAATAATAAAATACTAATAAAAAAAAAAAACTAAATAAATATAAT